CAAGCGTCTCGAAACGCATAGCTATGCCACTTTTGATACGGTTCCGCCTGGCCAAGGACCTCTCGACCCTGTCTCGGGTCGGAGCCAAGGTACAGCTCTGGGGGTCGTTGCTATAGACCAGCTGGCAGAGACCTTTCGCTTTGGAGGCTTTCAAGGTGTGCACGTGCACATTCACCCGGCACGCTCGCCTCACGGACGCGAACCTTGACGCGTCGGCGTGATACCGCATAAACGCGCGCGCCCGTGCGCTGTGCAACGCCGAGCTCTATCGAAATCGGAAGACGCGCCGCCGGCCCGTCGTCTTCCGCATGCCTGGCCAATGAAAAGTGTCGGATACTCTGACGTTTCCCACAACTAACCCATCTAATTTTATTTATGTCTCGGCGACTCCCTCGCCCGAGCAGAGAATCTAATGCGAGAGAAAGGTAGGGGGGGAGAAGGGAGGGAGGGAGTTAGAGAGAGAGAGAGAACGGGCGAGCGAGCGATGTGAAGTTTTAATGACGAGTAAACAGGGGTGAGCAGCGGGAAAAACGCACGCGAAATTATAATACAGCGCGCGCGAGCGACTAAAGAGAAAACGGAATAACGCGGCGGCGAAATCGATAGGAGGGGACGGCGCGATTAGTTCAATTTAGCTCGGACAAAAAGAGAAGTATATTTTTCTGCACGCTTTGCAGTATCGAGTCGAGCGCACGCGTCCGCATTCGGAACGCGTGGCGCATTCAAAGAGCGGTTTTAAAGCGAATAAAAATGCGCCCGACGCGCGCTGCGACGCCCGGTAAAAATCGCGCGCCTCGAAGGTGAACGTAATTATAGATCAAGAGTGCCTGTAATTGATCGATGGGCCGGATTAGCATATAAATCAACGTATAGTGAATCGTAGAAAGCCGGCAGATCGATAATCATTAGTTGGCGCGTGGAAAAAGTGCTTAAGTGTCTAACGGTCGATCGCGCGCCGCGCGAGAAATCATTCTTGCTGGGACGGTTCCTACTCGCGCCGGCGATAACGATCGGAGAAAGAAGAGAATTGGCAATAACGACGCGCGGCGCATACAGAAAAGGAGAAGGAAAAAAAGAAAAAGAGAGAAAAGCGCCGCCTCGCTGGCAGGCTAGAAAGACACATCGGCCGTGCGCGAGAATGCGCCAATGGAAATGTACGCGTGCCGATACGCCCAGCTCGTGTATCAAGGGGAATGCGAAACGCATTCGCGTTTCCCTCGGATACAAAATTCGCGAATTTTGGTGTACGAATAAATCTGATTACCGGAAGAGCGTAACGCCGCATAATTGCTACGCATGAATACCGAACTCCGTTCTTCCTCTCTCGCTCCCTCTCTCGCTCTCTCCCTCTCACGCTCCTCCACTCCTTTCTGCCATGCCATTCTGCCGCTTTTTTCACGCGATTTTCACATGCATAATGCACGAGCGAACGAAATATAACACGTCGCGATCGGAACAGTTTGCCGTGACGGCGCTCGTGAAAGAGGGCAATTAAAATGCAATATAATCGGGCCGTAAAGTAACTCGATGCGCGCGCTCGTCACCCTATACCTCCACTTTCCTTCCCCGCTTCCCTTATCCGCCGTTAGACCGGTGCCCGTTGTCCAAGTAATGAAAGTGCATCGGTCATTACGCGCGCGGAATACCACCGGCGGACGTGAACGTGCACGAGACGGAGCGATCGAGGTCCACGCGGAACTGCATTATTTATAATGCGGGCGCGCGCAATAAGGACGCCGCGATACGCATTATTGCATCCGGCTACGCGCCGTTACACATTATGATAAGTAAGATCACAACGCGACGACGCGACTGATCCGCAACGCGGACGCGTTTGTTTCGATGGATTAGCCCATAGAACCATAGACCATAGAAGGAGGAGGGCGTACTAGGTGGCGGTGGGACGCCATGCGTTCGAGATCTGCGTATCTTTTTCATTCCAGAGAGTTTTGCTAGGCCGGGACTCGAACCCGGGTATTTCGCTTGCCAGGCGACTGCTCTAAACCACTGAGCTACACTGAGAGAAAAATTATCTTAAAATTAATAAATATTTCCTTGGTGGGTGCTATTAACATATTTACTTAAATCTATATTCTCTTTACTTAAATCAAATATTGTTTATTTAAATCAAGTAAACAATATTTGATTTAAGTAAAGAGAATGTAGATTTAAGTAAATATGTTAATGGCACCCACCAAGGAAATATTTGTTGATTTTAAGATAATTTTTCTCTCAGTATACCTGACGCTCCACGCTCACGATACTCTCCCCTTTCTAGATAACGCTCAGAGATTTCGGATGGATTAGCGGCGCCTACGCTCGTAAAACGGCACGCCGAGCAGTTCGTTAGTCACTAAAATCGCGCGTCTTGTCGACTTGTCGCGATTGTCGCGCGGTCGAGTCGTAAATTCTGAAATGAAACGGTCGGGAACGATTGATCGATATTATTTACATTGTGCGCCGAGTGTCGGAAGCGTTTCGTACGACGTGAAGAAATTATCTCGACGAGGAAAAGCGAAATAAAGATATCCGCGTTAATATACGCCGCTGTTTCATCGCTCGAATTTCGGACGGTGGAGTATCGAATTCCTCGGCGATAAAATTTTCATCTGCCATTACGTTACTGCCATTACGATGACGTACTAACGTCAGCGGTGTGGCGCAATACGATATCACACCGTGCACATTTAACGCGGTAATAGCAGTCGCGCGAGCATCATTACTTCCGTTACGGTCAGAACGGTTTATTAAGTTCCACGCGTGGATTGATAATGTCGACGAAAAAAAAAAAGGAGAGAGAGAAACAAACTACCGTCACTACACGGCAGCGCGATAAACACGTAGTAACAATGCTCTTAAAAAAAGAAAATAAAAAAAGCAGCTCTTGTAAATTACAGTCTCGCGTGATAGAATTAATTCACGATTGTCACGCAAGTCGCGCGCGTATCCCTTCGTTCCCCGAATATCTTTCCGCAGCATCGTCGCGATACGGCACGACGAAATTCGATATTATCCTGCCAATTACTCGTGCGATCAGGTTCCTTCCGTAATACACGATAAAGATAAACCAGGGCAATTTTAGCGCGCAAGCCAGATCGACCCTCTCGAACTTCCTCCACGGCGTATTCGTCGCCGTTCTCCGTCTTCGTGCGAAACGTCCTGGAGAGCTCGTGTCCGAGAAATGCCCGAGAGTGTGTATAGGAGCGTGTGGTGTAACGTCCTCTAGCTGGTCCAAGAATCCAATAACTGGAAAACGCATTGGAGCGTACGCTCCTCGAAGACTACTCGAGCTGGCGTTTCCTCTGCGTACCGATTCGCGACGAATATTACGAGGAGGAGCGCGAGGCCCGTTCTCTTACTTCCACGGACATCGTATCCGCGATGGAGCAGATAGAAAAGCAGGTCGGTGGAAAAGGAGCAATCGGACGATTCCAAACTACGCGAAAGGGGGGAAACACAGTTTTGCGTCGTTGGTATATACTCACCGGCACAGGAAGTCTCGCTCGCCGAGGCAGAGCTCGAGGCAGTGCTGCCGCGAGGAGGCGGTCATGGTCCTGCGTGCGTGACCCTGAAGGCGGTGTCCCTGCACTCTATCGATGCACCAAGCGCGCTCGCAGGGCTTCACCGCCAGGCAGCTCTTCTGGGCGTAGATCGTGAACACGGGAAACTGGGACTGCGACAGCGCGCCTGAAACGCACGATCCTCTTATTAATTGCGAAATCACTCGGCGATTCTCGGCGATGTAAGGTCGCGAACAGAATTTATCCCTCTATCAATCGCTATTTCCGACATATTATAACTCCATTTCTCTTCAGTACAGCGCGGTGTGGTGCATTCAATTTTTTAATTATATATGAAATTTTAATTGAGCGTACACAGGACGTTCGCGTCATTTGTCCACGGGGGGACATCTTTTTATTCGCACGGGAATGAGCAGCGACGGGAGGTCTTTCAGCGACAATAGCCGGGGAGAATTTCACGCCACTGTATGATAAAATTCATTTCAGAATCTTTCAGATATGAGTTGTCAACGTCACGCTGTAAATGGCTGCAGACGTGCAGACAAGTAGCGTGTACGAGCGCGCCAAACGCAATGCATCCGTATCTACTTGGCAGCATCACGCAGAAGTAGACGCAGACGTCTGGCCTGTTTGTACGCGATATCTCGTGACGCGTCTCTGATTATTTATTTAAAAATGCGGATTCGGAAAGTAATTTTATCATGCACAATAGAAGCTGAATTTCTCTCTCTAATTTTTGCAAAAATTTCAAAATGAATGAAAATAATAATGGGAGGTATGTTGAAAAATATGGAATTTTTCGCAAAGCCAAGAGTGCACAAATACTTGAAATATCATAAAACTCCTACATTGATACATTCTGTCATATAATATATTACGGTTTGAAAAATATTTGTTCATATTAATCGTGTAGTTAGTTCCGAAAAATAATTTTCCAAACTCTAAACGATGCGAGAAAGTATTTTATGGAGGAAATTCGTGTCTCTTATTTTTCAATAATTTAATTATTCAAGGCACATTAAAAAATTGTTGAGGGTCCTTTCAAACTGTTATATATTCCCTAGCCAGTTAAAAATTCGCGGACACATGCGGGAACGTCGTTTTGTTGATTTTATTTCGATACCGCGTTTCATATAGCCCGCTGGTAAAGTGGAGTGCACTGTTATGTCACTCACGCGTTCTATGTGTACGCGATTTCGGTATTCTATAGTTGTCGGCTTCGGCTATGTAATTTTGATAGATCAGCGCGTTTATCATTCGTCGCCGCGACTACCATGTTCTTCGTTGGTTATTGGCCCGCGTCACGATAAGCGACGAAGTAGGCACTCCACCCACGTCTCGTCATACGTCATCCGCTCTTTGCTAAATCGTAATTAATCTCCGCTGTGTGACGGCAGCTTCGATCGTGACTCGCGGAAAACTTGCCTCAAGTTTATCCGTGGGGAAGAGAGGCCGCAGCGAAGAAGCGATAAGGGATGAAAAATAGCATAATAATAATAATAATAATATTCGAGCGCGGGAAATATTACGTCGAGATATCCCAAGGATATCCTCCAGCGTCACGCGTGCGATTTTCGCGCCGATGGTGCGCGCGTATGCGTGCGAATTAATCGCGAGGGGGGCGTGTGATTCCCCTGACGCTTTTGACACGGGCGACGTAAGTTAGCGGATAAACAATTAGAAGACACGTTCTGCAGTGAACGGCAAAGGTGTGGAGGCTGCGTGGCTCAAACGAGACGACATAATGAGATATCGCGATAACGAACAACACCCCGAGAAGTAGCAGAGAGGAGAAGAATTTCTGAAGCGGGACGGGTCGAAGCGTCGGCACGTCGATCTCTCAAAGAGGCGCTAAAGATATTCAATTACCCGCCATCAGCGGGTCACGCCTTGCGAGACCGTGCGCGAGAGCTAATGCCGTTTTTAACGGCGACCGAGAGAAATTGTGGTCGGGCCTCCGCGGCCACGGGGATAGGTGAATTCTTCGCTAGCGGTCAACCGCGTTCGAATTACCCGTGAAACTTCAAATTGTAGGAAGACGTTACTTATTGTAGAACGAGGCGCATAAATGGCATTATAGTCATCAATGCCCACTTCCGGGAGCGCGCACGCACAGGACATAAGGTACTTCTTACTTCTCATATAACACTATCGCGTTATGTGATAATGGAGTATCGTCGAGCCCTAAGTACTTCGTAGCTACGTACGTAACTTCATTGGAAGTGCTTTGTTTAACTTGGTGTCCACTCATCTACGCTCCCTTCCTCTGCTCCTGCTCTCCGCCGTGCCCTCATCCCCCTAACTATCCTCTCCGACATCTTTCTTTCGCCCCGTTCGCGAATCGAAATCCGCTTAGGTAAGGGAAAATAAGAGACACGGAGATACGTGAGAGGGAAAAGGTCGGGAGATAAGGAGGACAGGATAATAACGGCGAGCGATGGTGGTTAAAAGAGCAAAAGGACTCTCCCAACCCCTCTCTGTCTCACACACATACACACACACACCCTCTCTGAGCGCATGTATTAACCGCGGACCCTCACGCTCCGAGATATGATTTGTGACCTCTGTCCGGGGCCAATTAGGAAAGCGTGAAATCGTTATTTCGATCGGCACGGAGCGCAATTTACCGATTACGCACGGCGCGGCGTGTGCGTGAAACATCGCCGGAACAAGCATACTCTCTCTCTTTCTCCCTTCCTCTGTCTTTTTCTCTGCAACGATCAATTCCGTCGTTTCACGTAAAACGCGCATTTGTTAGCTATATCCGGTCCGCGGAAAGGTGAATTATCAGGAGAGGAGGGGCAAGGGTGTGCCACGCTGCTATCCATCGGCGGTATCGCGTTCCCTGTTTTTCACCGTTCGTTTAACCACTTAGCTTCCACATCGCTCATTTCGCGCATGAAAAATATACGTGGTACGCGTGCGTGCTTGTGTGTGTGTGTGTGTGTGAGCGCGACGCGCGTACCGTACGTATGGCCTTGCGCCTTGAGAGAAATGGGCATCTGCCAGCTCACGCATAAACTCGCCGCCGACCGTTAATCGAGATTCAAAATGCAGGAGTTAATGCAAAGTGAGCATTTACAGGCCGTGCGTGCGCAAATAACAGAAACGCGAGGATATACCGTTATCGCAATCTTCGCGCCGCGTCGCGCCGGCACAATCTTAACGAAGACTGCAAAATGCACTTGTCACGAGGCACCGATGAGACGTGACCACGGTCTCAGATGCTGTCACGAGCTCAGATACTGATATTCCGCGAACATGACATTCTTCTGACGGTGAGGAAACGAATAAAAAAAAGCACTATTCTCTCTAGTGCTGCGAAATGACTCGTCGACAGATACCAGCGACTGTCGACACGCCGACACTCGCAAATTACAGACTTACACTTGGCAACTTTTGTCACCGTTGATAATCATAATTTATAGTCTCCGGCTTCTTAGATTCGACGTGGACACCGTCGACAGGGACAAAACGTCTTGATAACACGTCGCGGCACGAAGCTACGTTTCATTCGCTCGACGAGTCTCTCTTTCTCTCATTCTTTCTCTCTGCCTGTTTCTCTTCTCGCCACATCTTGTATTCCTATCATAAATACTCGAAACGCGTCCCGCGACTCGCCGTCGTAGTAAGGCGGCGAGGGAAGAAGGAGCAAAGAAAATCTCCACACGCGGCTTGTCACGATGTCGCGAGGCACGAGAAATGGTCGGGGCGCATCTGCAACGGAGTGGTGTGCACGTGGATACGATGCCGTGTGCGCGACACGGTGTGGCGCGGCGCGGCGCGGCTATCCCACGAAATGACGTACGTAAAGCGTCCTCCGTACCTACCGGAGCACCGCGAGGAACAGTTCGATTTCTGATATACGAGGCACATTTAGATACGATTCGAGCTCAAGTGGCATCGGCTACGACGTTGCCCGTCGGCGCGCCGAGTCTCTGATGTATAATCTCGAATCCAGCTCGTGCCCGCCTCTCTCTCTCTCCCTCCCCTCCCTCCCTCCCTCTCTCTGTCTCTCTTCCCGCGATATCCCTTTTCCCCGCGTGCTCCAACAAAGGCAATAAGATTCCTTTTCTACGTGCGGCTAGAAGAGAGTCTCAGCGATCTACAGCGGTGAATGTCACTGTGCGCGCGCTGCGAAAACCTGTTCGCCGATCATTTTGCCTCAGGTGGTACGATGAAATCGTAAATAAGTGGAAGTAAGCTACACCCTATTGGTTCCGCATTGCCGTTAACGCTTTTTTAAACGTGTTTATCAATCCAGCTTCCACCGGCGAGTTCCGAGCAACGGACGATATTCGCGACAGCGATGTGCAAAAGCTCACCCCGCCGAGTTGTCTCGTGACGCTCTTATCGAGATAATACCGTCACCCAGCGAATCGAGCGAGTTACGATGGAGACGTCGCCGCGCGCGCGAGCTGTAAAACATGTCGGGGTTTAAATCTCATTCGGAGATCTCCCTTCGTTACGAGTTTCGCATAACTAGACGGTTACGTTATAACGGCGAACAAATTGCATCTTAAATTAAACGTGCGCTCACCTGGCCGACTTTCATTCACTTCTTGCGTGGCCAGCGCGCGAACGCTTACTTGTATGCCCGATCGCTACTATACTTTCTCCGCTGTGCGAGTTTTTAACCTTAACCTCAAGCCGCTCTTCCCCACCTTTCCGCGCCATTCACCCGCAATTACGTTGCGAGTATTTCTCTCGGGTTCTTGTGCGCGTGGTGTTGTTCATTATCTGAATACCGCCCCAACCCGAGTCAAAATTTTGATCCTACTTTCGACCTCGATATTCCATTTAACACCTACTTTAGTATTTTGCAGTCTACGTCAAAGTCTCTCTCAATTCTATTTAACCTACAGCTTTATCGAGAGATCCTCTTTAGAACCTACAAGTGGCATTCCGTACGTTTTTTGCCATTCAGAGACGCCAAGTAGGACTTTAGTTTCCACATGTACGTTAAGTACACACATACACTGGTTCTTCCGAATGCACAGGCATTGGGAAGTTCAAGTCAAAAGTAGGGCAAAAATTTCGACCCGGAAAGCTCGACGATTAATTTTCATTGCCAAAACATTTCCTTCCTTTTTTACAGAAGGATTAAAACATTTGCGTCCGTAGAAAATCTGCAGAAGATAATCCATAGAAATCCTCGCAGAGTTG